GTACTCTAGGTGGTACCGTGAAAATCTTTGGTGACATGATTGACCCAAACGTACCTTACAAAACTCTCCTACTCTCAGTAGAAGACACGGTTGCCCAGGTGGTACGAGAAGCCCTTGACAAGTACGGCCTCGAAGACGCCGATCCGTCCTCCTACTGTCTGGTAATGAGATCTCGCTTCTCCAGGGAAACCCCAAACTATCCAGCCCACGAGGAAATCCTCCCCGATGCGGCCAGTCCGTTAGGTCGTCTTCTAATGGATAAACCGCCCAAGGGCGTTATCACAACCTTTGAGGTAAACTCTTTTGACAGTTCTCCTGGTTGATGACAACTCAAGCCAGTGTGATTAAGGCCTTTGACGACAGTTGTAAGTGCGAGGCATCTTTGCCGTTCCCATCCAGCGTCGCTTATTTTAGAGCTCTAGCGGCTGCAGAAGACACATGCTCATTCCACTTGGTTTATTCGTTATGTCCTCTGCTGATTTGTCCCATAGTTTATCTGTGTTTCTATTTTCCGGCCGAGAATGTGCGAGCTAACACGGTCAAGGAAATCGGGCAGTTGAAGTTACTTTATTACGAGATAATTCACCACTTTAGGTGTCAATAATTCAAGTTTGGCGAACGTACGTCTTCCATTTATCACCATGAGCAGGAATTTAGAATAATATAAGGGAGGGTAGACTAAAGACGTTTAAACATCTAATGAACAGTAATTATGGAGGAGAGGGTCGAGTGTGTTGAGAGATCAAGGCCGTAAACGCCTGTCCTGTTAGCAGCTGAGGAAGAGGAGCCTTTGATTTCTTTATGGCCACCCTAGAAGCGGGCTTATGACGAAATTTGGGACAGTCAAGCGGAAATCCCTAATGCAAGCAGGAGAGCATTACAGACAAGGACAAGGCAGACTGGATTGGCCATTTTTGGCTTATTAGCCGTCATCATCAGCCATGCCCAACCTCCGGTTGTGTGCCACCCGAAGCTCGAACCCGCAACCTATCGATTAGAAGTCCACTTATCTAATTATCGGAGGTTGAAACGCCGGGGATTGGGTATGGCTGGCTGTTGACAGCTTACGAATTGAGGCAAAGGTTCGTATCCCAGGTATGTGTAGAGATTGAGGAAAAGGAGAAGAAGTCGTGTCGATCACCGGAATCATAGTTTTGTTAGTCTGAGGTGGTGGTTAATTGGTCCTCTCCATCCTCTTTCCCCGCCCCTATGACGGTTAATTGGCCCCCTCGCCCCA